CACTCTGCTTGGAAACTCTTCTGGTCAGGCTCTGTGTCCTTTGGACTCTAACTTGGACAGCAAGCTACCTCTCTACTCTTGTTATAAATAAATTAGGTTTAGGTCAGTTTCTCTATTTGGGGCTCCACTGAGTTGCAATTCTTCCCCTCTCATTACGGTCCAGACTTGTGGTCCCCTAATTCCCAAAGAGATAAGGAAAGCAGAGTTGGGTTCTCATCTAGAGTTTGAGTGAGTTTTCTCTGAGCCTCCCATAGTAATCTCTAAAAGGAGCAAGGCCACAGTCGAGTTGCTCTCTGTAGCACATTAGTCACCGTCAGTGAATAATCCGGGTTTATTAAATGCATGAATGGGGAAATGGAGAGGGTTCTGTCTTTGATCAATGGAGATGGAGAAAGAAAATACTGAGATGCAAAGTCTACCAAAAAGTAACCTTTGTGGGATCTGGTTATTGTACTAGAATTGAAAGTTTAACAAAACCAAATTTTACAACCTCAGAAATTCATCTGTTAAGCTAAATTCCTCTCATAAACTATAGTCTCATTTTTTCTTAATAACAGTCATACTTGGGTAGAAATGTTGAGGGATCAATTGGAGTTGCAGAATAAATGTATCTATAGAAGAATCATTTCTCCAGAATTAATCCAGTATATCCAAGTACTGGAATAAGGTAAGAGAGAATTGGCAGAGCATATGCAATCTCTTCATAATCCCCAGCAACTTTTGATACTGATTCAGTTCATGACTTTGCATAAAATTCCAGAATAGAAAACTATGAAGGACAGACACTGATAAATAAAGTAACAGCATAATATATAAAATTATATCCATTTTAAGAATTCTACTCTATATTGTCAATGTCGGAATATAGTGTTCTCAGTCATAAATGTTATCATTAAGATTAATTTTACTCAACTATTAATGTTTCTTCAACAAGCCAACAAGTTATATATGTAGCAAATGAAAATAAGATTTAAAAATGATAATGCCAGGGCACACAATAAAAGTTCTCACATATTTTATAAACGGTTTTCACATTTTATTACACAGCACGTTTTATAACTGTGCAATTCATGGAATGTAAAAATTCTACACATATTTCCAAAGTATTCTTGAAAAAAAATGTGAGAGTTTTCCTAGGTGTTATTTTTATTTTAAACCTCCGAAGGCATCTGAAACACATTTGTTTATATTAATTTGGGGGCATTTAACAAAATAAGTATGGCCTTAGTTAAAGAAGAAAACAACACCAGAATCTTGGCCTGGAATAAAGGACTAGAGACTTGTTGAGTCTTAAAGTCCTTTCCAAATTCCCTGCCATCGAGCTGATTCCAACTCATAGTGACCAGAAACAGCACAGGGTAGAACAATTGTGAGGATGGTGTCAGACTGGGCACTGTTTCACCCTGTTGCACACAGGATCACTCTGTCTGAACAGACTTGATGGCATCTTACGACAACAGCAAAGCCCTCTCCATACAACTATCTTCTACTAAAGCATCCATGACAAGCCATACACGTCATCACTATGTGGACATCATCAGAAGTACACCACTAATACTCATCTCAGTAATTTGAGTAGATCTCAAAATGGGCTGGGGAAAAGCTGGGGAGTCCAGGAAAGGGAGTGGAGAGTAGCTTCCTCCCATTTGATTGAATTCAAAGCTTCCTGTCACTATTATGTCATGGATCCCTGTGTAGCTTTCAGAGAAAACTGTTTAGTTGCTCATCCACGACCCTTCCAAATAATTGAGCCATACCAAGATTTCCTCTCCTGAAGTCTTGCTTCTGTCAGGCAGAATGCTTCCATTAGAACATTTCCTCCTCCTGTAATGGCTTTCCAATCAGCCTACTCTATCATCTCTGGATTGGCATCCATTTGCCAATGAAGCATCACAATGTAGTCTAACTAATTGACCCATCTGCTCCTCTGAGCTTTATTTGAGAACAAGATAACTTTCTGCTGCCACGCCCTGCCACGTGCTCACACTGAAACTGCTGGAACTCAAAATTATCCTTCTCACCCTGTGTTTCTTCCCTACATACTCCAATGTATAAAACGAACATAACAAATTTCCCAAAGAAGGCCCTGAAAGTATGTAATACCTGAATATAAAAGATATAACAAACCCCATGTAGATTACTTTCTCAGTCTGGGATTATGTTATATATCGTCATCCTCATCACCATCACCATCAGTGTTCCAAGACTGATTCAGGTGGCTAAGGTCCTGGATATATCATCAATGACCTTAGCCATTTGAATCCAGGTTGGAACACTGGCACGTCTAGGAAACTAAAGGATTTCTGCCATACTCCTATACACTTCTTTCCACAAAATAGTATGTGAGGGTGTTTTGATCTGCCACAAAATAGTATGTGAGGGTGTTGCTTCAATCAGGCAACATGCTAACTGCAGTTCCATTTCAGTGGGTATTATTCCAGTTCAATTATTCCAGATATAGCAGAAAGTATTTTACTCACTGCCGTGTCGAAATGCAGAACCACTTAGCCTGTATCATCTTCCTCTTTCTTCACTCTTAAATCTAGACAAATAATTTGCTTGGAACGTCATTTTAGTGAATCAATGCTATTCATACTACAATGCAATATTTCACAGAGAACACAGAAGATTTAATATATATGTATATAAGCAACAAAAAACTACTTATGTTTTAACTCAACTACGAGACCTAAAATGGTTGCTTTGTGTCAGCACTTCTAATAAACTGGCACAGTGTGAAAAAAGAAAACAAAATTCTTTCTAAATGATTAGCTTGACCAAAAGGCCAATGCTAGGATAATCTAAAACATAAAAATTGATAATAGCCAAGTAAACATGCCTTCGGTCAAACTCATAACCAGTTATCTTTATTGAGAGTTTTTTTTAGCAGAGACACATTGAAAAAGCAACATATTTTCAAAATATAAATAGAAAAAAACAAAACAAAAAAACGTTGGCACCCAAACAAACTTCAGTATAAAACACACTGGGAAAGAGCTTTGCTGTTAAAAATGAATTTGTTCTTATTAGTTACATGAACCTCAGTCACAGCCACTCCAAGTCTCGAGTGTAAATAAGAACAGCTAGAGGTGAAATAATAATAATAAAACATACTCCAACACCTCTTCAAGCCCTAAAGCATGGAATGAATTTGTTATTAAATACACTTTGTGTATACTTTTAATATTATCTCCTTTGGGACATTCATCCTTCAGCCAATCTCCAAAATAGTGCGCATGACTGATAAACTAGACTACAACGGATTTGAAACTATGGGTTATAGCATTATATATTGTGTCATTATAAAGTGCTTTTGCATAAAATGCCTTGTTTTAGCAGAGGGCTTCCAAGAGTTCATGGGAAAAGATTTTTATCTCTTAATTCCAATTTTTTCACCCACTTTTGGATGTCCCCTCATGTATTTTGTCCTAATGTTCCCTTCAACAAGCAGCAGGATAATGCTGTGGCAGCTGTGGCTAAACTCTAGAAAAAATATTTATTGTTTTCTTTGTTTTGTTTTGTTTTTTATCTCAACTAAAACACATACACACAGAGAGACTTCCCGGGCCCTCATTTCATGCCTATTGCGCATGCTGTGAGCCTCTGTTCAAATCATCAGTAGTACTGACCCTGGACCCGCTTCACCCCACCTGTCTTCATAGTATGAAGTACAGACCGTATTACTGAGCAAAGTCAAGAGCTAACAGTAGTATTTTCAAAAACCAGCTTCCAGAGACCGTCTCAAAGTCTCTGTCTCATAAATTATATCCATTCAACAATGACCCCATTTCACCTCACAAAGAAGGAAACACACAAATGGAAAAGCATGAAAAGTTTTATCATGAACTCTAGGTTATTTTTATTCTAAGCATTTTAATTGGGGAATAACCACTGTAACAATGAGCTTAGGGTGTATTTTTGTTCCTTTAAAACGTGGTACTGTTAAAAACGCTAGATCGTTAGGGGGGGGGGGGGAAACTACCAGAAATGGTGGAACAATAAGTCTATTTCAAAATGTTAACAGATTCAACCTCACACAATTCAGAAGCGTCTAGCCTCTAGAGTTACGTATTCCTAGAGTAAGCATATTGAAGAAATCAAATCTGAAGTACTGTCCCAAGTTTTTTAAAAACGTTATGTGTTTTCCAAGTTACAGAAATATTTGCTGAAATCATTTTCTTCGAACCATGTTTTAAAATGCTGCACATGTGCTTCTTCTAAAATTTATGATAATAAAAACAACACTTCAAAGAGCCCCAAGAGTTTTGGAAGTGATATGCATATAAACATTAAGGAGGTCTGAGAAGAAAATTTCAGTTACACTTAACTACAACTGTTTTGCAAACTCCCTTGAAGTGTCTCTGGTCAATGTGGTCTTAATTAAAACACACATCAGAGTAAAGTCTCCTCTGTGATAAATTTCAAAATAGGAGAAATTTCACTGCAACAGAATAGGATACCTGAGATAGCACATGGGTAAGGAGAGGAGGAAATGAAAAACTGCACATGGGCTTCCCGAATCCCTGGCAACTTGGTCCTGTGCTCCACCGCAAAAGAAACAAAGCCCCTTCTGAGTGAGAGGATGCATTTAGCTGCCTCCCAGAAAGTTTCCAGAACTGCAGCACGTGAGATCTTCCTCTGGATTTAGAGGAACTTTTCTTTCCTTCCAATTTGCAAAAAGTTTGCTTTATGGCAAGACTTGAGATATCAATTTGCAGGATTTGTAGCGATAGCAAGCCCTCCGGGAAACGAATCAACAATGAAAAGCCTTTTGCGGTGCTTTTTGGCGACTCACAAGCACACACACACACCTCACACTCTGGGAGTGGTTGAAAGTGAACTAACTTGTAGCAAGCTTGTCCCTTCTAGACCCAAAGCACGCTCCCCAGGGCCCTGGACAGGACCTTGGTTCCCAATCAGGAACTTTCTGGAGCAGGAGCTTGCGAGGAGCCTCGGAGCCCTGCAAATAGACAATCAACAGCCCAGTGCCTCGACTGTACCTCTTTGCTGATGCGCCTGTGGCTGCCGGCGCTGCTGCGCAAGCTGCCCCTGGCTGGCCCCGCAGCCCCCGAGCCCGGCAAGTAGCAGGAGGAAGAGACTCCCGGCCGCTCCTGGCATCTCGGTGGCCCTGGGATCCACTTCTCCGCAACGCTGGAGCTGCTGTCGCCTGGTCCCCAGGCCCGGGTTTCTGAGCCAGTGAGCAGCAGCTGCTCGGGAAGAGGAGGAGCAGCCCCCTCTGGTTTGGGCTTGGCGGCGCCTAAGAGGGGAGTGGAGGACACTCCCTCGCCCTCCCCTTTGCCAAGTGTGAGGCCCCGCTGACCATCATGCACAAGCCTTAAAGGGTCCTTCCTTGGAAAAAGATCCCTCCTCCTAAGAAGGGATCGCGTTTTAGCTTGCTCTGCTAACCCAACTTCTTTGGAATTAAAGGAAACAATTGATGGGAAAACACTTGGTCATCTGCAAAATCCCTACACATGGAAAGCGTTATTGTGGAACTCCATGCGGCTGTTTAGAGAGTAACCCCACGCAAAAGTCTGGCAAAACTGTCTGCAAGAACGCGTACCCGACCGACCAGGGTGTTTCAAAAGTTCCAAAGACTCCCAAACGATGACAGATGACGTTAGGTGACTTCTGAGGACAGAACAAATCAAACCACGGTGGAATTTTGGGAGTCTGTCCCAAGTCTGCAGACAAGTAATGGCGCCTTGGGCTAAGCATTTCGCTGCTAACCGTAAGATTGGGAGAACATTCTTAGAAATCCTATGTTGGGGCCCAATGAGTCAGAGAATCTGCTCTAGGAAAGTGGGTTTGGGTTTATTTATTTTTACAGCTGTTAAAGTACCACGGGTCCAGCCCTGCTGGGTCCTGTGCCATCGCACACTTGTTTGGTTTGCGCCCATTGTTGCAATTGTTATAATTACAATAGTATTGCAATTGTATTGACAATTGGCAATAATCAAATCTATAAAATAGTGGTGGTGTTAGGGCATGTCTTGCAGTCCATTTCAGACTCAGAGAGACCCCACATGATCGAATAGACTGGCCCCAAGGCGTTTCATTTTTTATGGAACTTGACAGAAACATACGGGTCTTTCTGATCTGGAGCCACTGGGTGAGATTGACCCATCACCCTCCTTCCCCAATAGCAGTCAAGTAGCCAAACCAAGCAAACCCACTGCTGCCCAGTCGATGATAATTCACAGTGCCCCTGTAAAGGCTGAGTTGTTCAGGACCATTTCCTTCTCTATGGAAGCAATTCCTAAAGCGCGGCTGGGTGGCTTGAATTCCCAACTTTTCTTTAAGCAGCTGAACACTTAACCCACGGCCCCACGCGGAATACGTACAAGGTCTAATGCTTTCAGTTTTTGTTAGTTGTGCTTGCACGTGCTTCCCGGGCACTTCTAAAAGCAGGGGCATTCTGAGCTTTCGAATCTGCTTTGATGTTCAAAATGACTGCTTTCCTTCTACAACTCATATCTATCAAATGACTTTCAAAGCAAAAAGGCCTAGTTGCTAATAGGAACTGTAGTACAGAGACATCATTCGTCCTTCTATCAACCTCCCTTGTGCTTCTGTCACTTACTGAGTGTCATTATATTAAGTGATAAACACAGATCAATTTTCATTATAAATATTTGCACCCAGTCTCTTCACGTCACTCCCAAGTGCGTAGGCTTCCTATTTTATATAAAAGACTTTTGGATGGCAACTACTATCAACTCCACTTGTTAGATTTAACACAGGGACAAAATAAAATGACTTAACCAAAATTAAAGTGTAGACCCAGATTGTCAGAGCTATATATATATTTTAAAAATATACCTTTTGAGGGTGCATACAATAAATATACCCACTTGGTACATTATGAAATATAAACACCACCTAACAATCACACCAATTAATAAAACAGTATATTTCTACCTTTCTTAAAGTTTCCTTTTTCTAACATTTTTCAGTTTATGTCCCTCCTGTGCTCCCACATACAGGGAATCACTGATCTGATCTCTGTCACTGTATTTTCTTTTTATGTAGTCTCAGATTTTATAAAAACAGAATAATAAAGTTTGTATTTTTGTGTGCCCAGCTCCTCTCATGGACTCATGGAGCACCATGTTCTAGGGACCACAATGCTTTAGAGGAGTACTAGGTGGCTTTTGAGCAGTAAATTGTGTTCCACTGTAAGGATATATCACAACTTGTTTGTCCATTCAACTGTTGAAGTGCATTTAGCTTGCTCCAGTTTGGGGATATTAAGAATAAAACTATAATGAATATTTGACTGTAATGGATAGACATATATGTATTTCTTAATTTCTGAAAGTGATATTTTTGCCTTGTTTTGTATGTGTATCATTAATTTTATAAGAAATGATGAAACCATTTTCCAGCATGATTTACCATTTTGTTGTCTATCATTATATTGTCTTTCTGACAATATATAATAGATCCAGATGCTACACATCTTTGCCTACACTTTGTCTTGTCAGTCTTTTTTTATTTTAGCAGTTAAACATTTGCATAATGATATCTCACTTAAGTTGTCATTTTCATTTCTCTGATGATGGTGAAAACATTTTCATAAGCTTAATATGCAGATATATATCTTCTTTTTAGAATATTTTTCAAATATGTTGCCCATTTAATTGCTTTATGTGTCATGTTACTAAGTTATAAGATTTAAATATACATTCTGGAAAAGATTCTTTTGTTATATGTATTTAATATATTATAAATTGTTCTCAATTTGTTATGTGGCTGCATAATAAATTACCTCTGAAGTGTATTGAGGTTCTCTTACATATGGCCTTTCTGGCCTTGGGCTTATAATTTTGCAAAAATCAATTGGTTAGGTAACAACTAACCTTGTTAGCCTATTCCACATATCTTACAAATATTATACCCAACAAAAGTACCTTGCAGAAGTTAGTCATTGTTGTGCAAATTAAGCAACTTGGCTACTGAGGCAATTGGCCAGTTCATGGTCTGGTGGGAGTGTAATGACTTGCAATTGATAAGAAGTAGGCTTATATAATGTGGTAGTTATATAATTTCATGTCAACTTGAAGATATAAAAAAGTGGAGTGTGAAGTCTAGCCTGTCAATTAGGTCACAGCCTGATGGTGCCTCCTTATCGACGTGGCCTTCTCATAAAGCAAGTCCTGGGAACCTCCCTCCTACTCTGCCTTCACCGTCCTGCTGCCTGACCCTGATTGCTGTGAGAGCCCTGGAGATGTGTCCAATGCCATTGGATCCACAAGACTTTGCACCCACTGGCTTGTGATCTTCCTGCCTTCTGCATCATTGCTTGTGACTATTCAGAAGAGAGACTTATGGACTAGTAACAGACTTGTGGGGTGGACTTGGACAGGGCTAGGATGTTTTCTTGATATATAATGACTTCTTGATACAAAGCTCTTGCTTACACATATATGAGTGTCACTGGATTTGTTTCTCTAGTCAACCTGGTCTAACACACATGCGATGCAACCAAACACAAGTGTAGGGATATCTCTTTACCAGCAAGAATAATCTGGAGTAGTGCAAATCATTTGGACCAGGGTCCCTATACTGAGACCCTCCCAAACACAGTAGAGAGAAAGCTATAACACTGGAGATGGCTTGAAACAGCCAGAAATGGCAGAAGCCAAGCAGAGCCTGGTGGCAGAGGAACAACATGAACACAAGTGGCAGAAACTAGAAACCAGCACCTGGCAGCTGCAGTGGTGTGAGAGAGATTTGCATGTGTTGGGGCAGGAGCCTACCTGGCAGAGTGGGGGGTCTTCACACACCTGTCAGCAGAATGAACGAGCTGCCATACTTGCTGGAGCAGAGTGGCAGTCAAGAGAAGCCCTGCGCTTAGCCACAGCTGAGAAGCAGCTGCGTGTTGTCTTGATGGGAAGCTGTCATGACTGAAAAAGTGTATCCTGTCTCCCAAGTTGTATTTGTTAACTTTCAAGTTGATCCTGACTCCAAGGTGACCCTGATAGTTACTTTCTCTACAGTTGTGAGTATAGTCTGAGTCCTGCGTGGCTATTAAAACAAATTATCAACTTCCGCAGAGAGAGGGTCAGGAGGGATGAAGGGAGAGAGATAATTGGATCCAAAGGGTGACAAAGTTGCCGTTTGGAGGTATGTCTGAACTCAACTTCACGCAATTCTGCTTTGGACTGATGGTGATTCTTACCCCTCTGGAACTAGAGTACTTTTTATCCAAATAGATCACACCTCTCAAACTGTAGTTTAAAAAATAATAAATATTTATTGCATAAAAGTCATAGTGGGTCAGAAACGTAAGAACTATTTACTTGGGTGCTTCTGACTCCTGATATCCCGCAAGGGTGCGGTTAAGATGCTAGCCAGAGCTCTAGGCCTCTGAAGACTACACTACAAGACCAAACTCACTGCCATCAAGTCAATGCTGACTCCTAGCAACACCCTGTGGCTTTCTGAGCCTGTAACTCTTCATGGGAATAAACTTCCAGTCTTTCTCCTGCAGAGCAGCTGGTGGTTTCAAACCCCTGACCTTGTGGATCACAGCCCAGCACATAACCACCAGGGCCGAAGAATCCACTTCTCAGGTGACTCGGGTCCTTGTCACGGATGCTTCACTATGGGACTGCTCCAGTGTCCTTATGACACTACCGTTGACTTCTTCTAGAGCAAGTGATCAAAGCACAAACCAGCAGGATTCCAGACCTTATGACCCAGTCATAGTTACACCCTATCTCTCCCACCAAATCCTATGTATTAGATGTAGATGAATAATAACATCCCTTACACCAGGAGATGGGCGTTTGACTTCCCCTTTTGAAGGTCATATCAAAGATTCTGTGGGGATACTTTTAATCATCACAATCTTGAACATTTTACTTCATGAAATATGAACTCTTATCAAAACAAAAACGTTGGCACTGTCTTCTTTAAAATCTGATGTTTAATCTTTATGAAAAGTTTCTCTTTGTCCCTGGTAATATTTTTTGTTAAAATTAATTTAACTGATGTTAAGCACTTCTGATTTCTTATAATTAATATTCATTTGGTATGTTCTTCCATTCCCCACAGTTCACTCCGAGTCTTTATGTGCAGAGGTGTCTCTCACAATCAGCATATAATTAATTGAGTCTTGTTTCATCTCCCTAGATGGATAGTCTCTGTTTTTGGAGTGTTTAAATCTGCACTGTCCACTGTGGTAGCACTCGTCCTGTATAGTCATTT